GACTAAGAAATGGATATTAAACTAAATAAATAAATAAATAGGGATAGGACGTCTTCCTATAGCAACATTCATGACGACAACAAAACACGACAATGACCACGGAACATGACGACCATAACAACCACAAATAGACGCGATGAGTATGGAGAATCGCGACGATGACAATGGTATGGTCCGATTTCCCATCTCCGCCTCTTATACTCTCGCTTGATGAGTCTTGCGCAATCTGGGCAAGGGTGTTTTGATAGATTCTTGCGCCGACCTACCTATGATCTATAATTACAAAGAGGGTTCACTGCGTACAGAGGTAGCAGTGTCCACCGTTAAATCAAGCATTTCTGGGCTTCAGCGTGGAGGGGGCGAAAAATATGCGTTGCGTAAGGCGTATCTGCGTGCTCCCGCATCCAGCTGACGTTGTTTGTGCACCCCAGGGAGCTTATCTATAGGTCGCCGCAGCACCTTCCATCCACCAACTCCATTCTCCCAACAACTCCATCTCCTCAGCTATGAATGAATCAAAACAATCGTACAGGCTCATATACCCAGACAGTCGTGGTAAACGGCAACCGCGGGCGCTTTTGCGCAGGTCCCGCGGTATAAAGCTTGTTGCTCTTGCTTGTCTTGTCTTTCTAGCTTATGCTCAATGGCGCCAGCTGAATGGCACTCGACCAGCCAATCAAGCCAATCGTGTCGCCCTTTCTGCCAGTCGCCTTCGAGACGATTTTGCCAAATGTCACACCTTACGCCAGAAGCCCCGTGACCCGAGCGGACCTCGAAACCGCAACGCTCGTGCCGTGCCTGGCAACAAACCAACGCTCATCAAGAACGCGACAGTATGGACGGGAGAGCCAGTTCCTGGAATGAGCGATGCGAACGAGGGGTTGAGTTATGCTTGGGTTGAAGCCGATGTTCTTCTGGAGGACGGGCTTATCAAAGAAGTTGGCGCTGATATTCCCGAATCCGACTTGCCCTCCGGTTGCCTAGTCTTCAACGCCAATGGACGCCAACTTACGAGTGGAATTGTTGACATGCACAGTCATGCTGGCGTTGATCCCCTCCCCGAGCTTGTAGGAGGTGAAGACACGAATGAATTGTCCTCGGATATTACGCCGTTTGTGCGATCCATTGACGGATTGGATCCATTGGATCATCAAATCCAAGTCATCAAGTCCGGCGGAGTCACTACGTCCCTGGTACTTCCAGGCTCTGGCAACAACATCGGTGGAGAAGCCTATGTGATCAAGCTTGCCGTGGGAAAACCAGATGGCCGCCCTGAAATCAGCGCGACAGACATGCTTGCTGACCCCGGGCGAACTTGGCGTTACATGAAGATGGCCTGTGGAGAGAATGCCAAAAGAGTGTATGGGAAGGCTGGGGAGCGTGGTCCGTACAGTCGACTGGGAGAATCATGGGAGTTCAGGCATGCGTTTGAGCAAGCAAGCGCCCTGGTCAAGGCACAAGATGACTGGTGCAATTCGGCGTCAGTCCACGGGCCCGAGACCATGGACACTTACCTACCGCAAGAGCTACGGTGGGAGGCACTGACTGCTGTTCTGAGAGGACAAGTCCTTGTCAACACACATTGCTATACTGTCCCGGATCTGGAGGCCTTTGTGGACCACACGAACGAGTTCAAATTTTCTTTGCGGGCCTTCCATCACGCACACGAGACTTATCTAGTCCCCGAGGTGAGCTTTTTCGTCAGAACGTCTTGGAGAATATGCTGACTCCCTAGATTCTGAAACGGGCATGGGGACGCACTCCAGCTGCTGCCCTTTTTGCCGACAACATGCTTTACAAAACAGAGGCATACCGTGGATCCGAACAGGCCGGGAAAATTCTCTATGAGAATGGAATCACGCCCGTATACGTCAGTGATAACCCCGTGCTTAACAGCCAGCACTTGTTGTTCGAAGCTGCTAAAGCGTACCGCTACGGGCTTCCCTACCATGCGGCATTGGCAGGCGTCACATCTGCACCAGCGGAGCTTCTCGGCCTGGGCGAACGCATCGGAAAGATCAAACCTGGATTTGACGCTGATGTTGTGGTCTGGGACAATGATCCCCTAAGCGTTGGTGCTACCCCTGTCCAGGTTTGGATTGACGGTGTTGCTCAGTATGAAGATCCGTACATCCTGCAGAAGCCCAAGAGTGGACCAATGGATCCGAAGACAGAATCTCCCAAAGCCAATGGTCAGTCATTTGAGACTGGCTTGGTGGCTTTTACCGGAATAACAAAGATCTTGATTCCGGGATTAGAAGACGCGTTTGAAGTAACTGAAGGAACTCCCCAAAGTCTCGTTGTGGTGAATGGGACCATCACCTGCATCGGCGAGTGCCACTCGGAGATCTCCACCATGAAGACTGAGGAGGTGATCAATCTGGAAAACGGCTACCTGTCGCCATCATTTACGCTTCTTGGATCGTCACTCGGGCTCAATGAAATCGACGCTGAGGATGACACGCAGGATGGAAGAAATGGCAAAGGCGTTTTCAGTCGAGCAGTGGACGGGTTGCTCTTCCAGAACAAGCAACTGGAAGCAGCGTATCGACATGGGGTCACCAGAGCCATCACTGGACCAATGTTTTCAGGAGGCGGTTCGTATGGGGTGAGCGCCGGATTCCTCACCCACGCCTCAAACTCTCTTGAAGATGGCGCGGTGTGGGCAGACGAAGTAGCCGTGCACTGGACGCTTGGCCTTGGGGCGAAGGACGACGCGACTCCTTCAATATCAAGTGCCGTTGGCGCCTTGCGAGACAGTCTCCTTGGAGCCATCGATTTCAACGACACGATTTCAACCAAGTTTTCCGCGACATCCTATCTCCACCGGGTCGTGGCGGCAGAGATGCCCCTTGTCATCGCCGTCGACAGTGCCGACACCATCGCCTCCATCCTCCGCATGAAAGCCACTGTTGAAAAGGCAGCGAATAGCAAGATCCGCATAGCACTCGTCGGAGGCGCTGAATCGCATCTTGTTGCCAATGAACTTGCAGAGGCTGACGTGGGCGTTGTGCTCGCGCCTCTACTTCAGTACTCTCAATCCTGGGATCAGAGACGTTCTCTTACAGGCGCACCACTCACCAATGGTACAGCCGTCAATGTGCTCCTTGACGCAGGTGTCACTACCGCCATTGGAACAGCCGAGGACTGGGAGGCAAGGGACCTAGGTCTTATGGCTGGCATTGCCTTTGCAAATGGAGAAGGCAGGCTGAGCGAGAAGGATGCGTTGGCTCTTGTCAGCACAAACGTGTACAAGATGCTCGGATTGAGCAACCCTGCAATGCGCAGTGACTTTGTGGTTTACGAAGGTAGCCCTCTGGAAATTCGTTCGCGGGAGGTCGCAATCGGAACTGGCCAAGGGGGTGTCTCTGTTTTTCTTTAGGGGGGCGAAAAGCAAGAACCGCAGCATCACTGAACTCTATGGATTCGAGAGCATCTCGAAGCCATTCACCGTTACAAAACGCCTGAAATGCATGTAGACTTCTCCGTAGTAGTAGGTACATCATGAGAGGACTTTCCAGCGTTTGAACTTTCGTGGTTTTCTCTCACAAGCGGTCCACGCGGGAAGCTTTTTTGGTAGTGGCGCGCCATTTGCAGCGCCCACATTATTTTCAGTCCTTCCGATGACATGAACCCCTGGAAGTTTCCTCCCACGGGCACAATCGGAGGCCGACCCGGCTTGCTTTGCAGCAGAATCCTCATTTCGACCCCTTGCAGCGCGTTTCCATTCTCTTGTTGCCCAGTTCCTCCCTTAGGAGACCAGAGTGCTTGCGGTGGCGCTCTCGTACCTCCAGGTAGGCGCAAGAACACCAACCTTCTTGTAGTACCGAGAAAGACGGTGGATGCGGGATTCGACGAGAATCATGCGGAACTTGGAGTCCTTGTCCTTACGCTGCTCGATCATATTAGCAAATCACAGCCTGACCCGTAGGTGCGGATGGGCGTATACGTTGCGTTCAAGGTGCTTCCTGATCAGGACAGCCTTCTTGATGAGCATGTAGAGACTGTGCGCAGTTAGCAAATGCTGGAGCCAGAGGTCAAGCCCAGAGACGCACTCTTCAGGGATCTCAGGAGCCAGGCCTGCATGAGCCCAAAATCATTCTGTCAGCCGAAACCGATCAGAAGCATAAGAGGTTTGTTTGTAATCGCCGATTGCATGCGACGAAGCAACGTGATTCAAACAGGGACCAAGTCATTCATAAGAGGCATACCGTTGCTCTTAAGAATCCGAAGGATCTTGTTGCCTGCCAAAAGTCAGTTTTTGCCAACCTGAGCCCGGATGTCCTACGCACCAGTCACGACCTTGACCTGAGCGATTCCGTGCGCTGTGAACGTCCATCAGTATGCGGCCATGGTCGTGCGCTCAGACGAATGAAGTATTACAGTCGCGCAGAGCGATGCCAATCTGCGAAGGCGTCGCGCCCTTGCGGGCGAGTTTGCAGATCTGCTCCCTAACTTGTTCCGGCGTTGTCTTGAGCCACGAGGCAGGACGGCGGCTGTACGGGATCGCGCTCGACGAAATACCCTGCGCGTGTTAGCTGGCAATCTTCACACCACAGTTGGAGATCCAGGTGCTTGAGCATACCTTGCCCTTGCTGTGAAGACGACCCATGATGTCAATTTGTCAATTGGAAACTCGGGGTAGGTTGTGGTGGGGCTGCTCGGGGCGGGTGCGTTGGTGGTTGCGATAATTTGGCGATGTCGTTGATGGAGAGACGAGCGAATGGTCGGGCGTGTGGTTTGGCCGGAGCTTGTTCGCTTAATTGAGTGCAGGGTTATCTGCCTGCTCTCCGCCCCTCCTCCAGCTGCGTTTTCGCACACAGCAAATGCGCCAATTGATATTTTCCGCTTGTAACGCATCGGATGATAATCGCACAGGTTTGTAATGTCGTCTGATGTCAATGAAAATGAACGCGACTCGAGTGAACCATCTTTGGACCCTGAGTCATGAAATGTTAAGCATGACATATTGCATGTAAGCGTGCCACTTTTCATCGACCGGCAACGTGGCCGAGTGGTTATGGCGGTAGACTCAAGTCAACGACTTAGCAGCTGATTACAACAGCTGCCAGCATTCTACTGGAGCAATCCGCATGGGTTCGAGTCCCATCGTTGTCAATATTTTTTGCTTTTTGCCCTCGCTGAGCTTGCTTTGCTTTTGGTAGTTGACTGGAATGCGTTTTGCTGTTGGGATTGTTGCGTTGGCCGTTGGGAAGTGTGCGAGAATTGCTGACGGAGATCGCCATCCAGAGTGGAGAGCATCTTCATTGGTTACTCCGCGTACGCTAGACTTTTGGGCACGGAGACAAGGACAAGTTGAACGCTTTCGGGGAGCTGAGGAAATCACATTCAAATTCCTTTCTAATTTTCTGCTCGCTGGCACAGTTGCAGCATTCGGGGCATTGGAGCTGCTCAACGAAACGGCGAGACAGGGGTTGAGAGTGCCCCGAGATTAACTTTAGCCAGTAGTCTCTGCCAGTTGAAACACTGAGCCAAGCTTCAATTGAACGTGGTTGATAGGAATATTTTAGGGCTGCGCTCACGGTTGCGGCGTAGAGTGGCCGCTTCGACGGTCCAGATCACAGGCGCTCAACAACACATCTTTTAGAGTCCATACATGGTGTTGGGATATTTGAAATTTTGATTTTTGAGTAGGCGAATAGCCACTCATCTAGACAAAGATGAAGAAAGCCCAAGTGCTCTAGTTCTATAAGTTCTAGCCGTCTAACCCGCTCATTACCTCTACTTCTCCATGGTCTTGCCAGCCCAGACATAGACGCCCCGGGTGGCTCCCTCTTCGACCTGCTTGACCCACCTGCAGGTCTTGAAAGTGTGCCACAGGCTAACGAGGAAGTTGGTCTTGTCCTGGTTGTAAAACTCGCCGAGCAGCGGGCGGATGGCCTCGGTCGCCTCGTCGGCGTAGTAAAAGGGAATGCGAGGGAACAGGTGGTGAACGCTGTGAGTTCCGATGATGCCGTGGAAGAGGTGTTGGTCAATCCATCCAAAGTCGCGGTCGATGGTGCAGAGGTTGCCGAGGGTAAAGTTCCAGGTGCCTTCGGCGTAGTGAGGCACATCGGGGTGGGTGTGGTGCAAGTAGGTAATGGCAACGAGCCAGTGGTGCACCCAGAAGTACGATTGTCCGTACAAGAGGCCGACCATCTGCCAGCCGACCTTTTGCGCGGCAAGGTACAGGATGTAGCCCATGATGGCCAGTCCGAGGTCAGACAGGATGATGAAGATGGCCTGGCGCGGGATGAAGAGAACGCTCCACGGGTCAAAGTGGCTGCCGCGCTGGTTGAACCAGCTCGTCTTGTTGTTGTCGCGAACACGGCTCTGCTTTCCGGCCGAAACGTTGAAAAGCAGGTACGTCTGCCAGCCAAAGAGCTGGTGGAACAGCAGCTTCGCGGCATTGACGATCGGAGTGTCCTCGGCGAGTTCGTTCAGAGCGTTGACCGTGATCTTGAGCTTCGAGGCCATGTCCTCCTGCGTCTTGGGGACGAAGACGAGGTCCTTTTCAATGTGGCCGGTGAAGCGGTGGTGGCGCGCGTGCGAAAACTTCCAGGAAAAGTAGGGCACCAGCAGGAAGGAGTGACCGAACCAGCCAACCGTGTCGTTGAGCACACGGTGCTTGGAAAAGGCTCCGTGGCCGCATTCGTGGGAGAGGATCCAAATACCCGTAAAGATGAGTCCTTGGGTGAAGCCGTAGAGAATCCAAGCGGCAGCGCGAATCCAGAAGGTTTCAATTCGTGGAATCTGCAGGCCTGCCCATCCCAGGATGGCAACGAGAATGATGTCCCGCGCCATATAGCTCATGGAAATGGCCACCGAGGGCTCAAAACAATGAGGAGGGATGGCCTTCTTGATGTCGCCGAGGGTAGGGCACTTGGAGACATCTCTCGTTGACTTGTCGGCCTTGACGGGCTGGAAAAGAGGTTAACGATGAACGTGGCCAGTTTGCGCGTGGTGAGCATACCTGAACCTCTTTTGTTGAGGTGAGGGTGACGGTCTGGGTAGCCATGGTGCCGGTCGAAGGGTTGTGGGCTGGCGGGCCAAATCAGACGGCGAAAAATGTCGTCTTGTGGATTGTCCGCTGGCGACGGCAGCGTGTCTGCGGTGTGGCGGGCTTTTAAAGCGAGCCACCAAGAGACAGTATCAAAGCTCGAGCTTAAAGGGATAAGGGTCTGGAGTGAGGCCCGTTCCTTTTCGGTGGGCTTTCAAGGAGCAGACTCTGCGCGCAGACGCTCCACCCTTAGTACCAAAGCTCAGCGATCTTGGTCGTGAGTGGACGCAGCGAAACCCGTGGGAACGCCTCGCGGGCACGGTGATTGACTCGACGAGACGGTCTTCATGGCGGATGGATAAGAGCAAATTTTTGGGCCCTCCATTTTTGTTAGGTACATGGAGATTGTTCCATACGAGATTGTGGTGTTGCGGCTGGTTGCACAGCAGCCGTGGACGCTAGTGAGCAGCGCGGACCGCGCTTGGAGGACAGTCTAAGCAAGCGTGGTGGTTGGCTTCAAAAAAGTCGTTTCTCACCTCTCTCTCGGGCCTTTTCCCATTTCGGCCCTTTTGCCCATGTTGTTCGGCGGCAATGCATCCAATCACAGCTGCTGGAGATGAAGGGTCTTGGGGGGTAGATCAGGGTCCCTCACCTCAGCCTCAGGGCCGCCGAGCACGTCCTCCATATGCATCAATGAATACGTGGTGTCAACATCGCCACGTAGCCATCTGCCCATTCCTCTTCTTCGACAAAAAGACGCAAGAGCTCGGCTACCAGCATCAAATCTGCCTTGTCTTGTCCCTTGCCTGACTGAGTTTCAACCGATTTGCAACTCCTGTAGATCAGACAAGGCCAAGCCCCTGTGAGCTCCAACATCTGATTAGACCAGTCTGTGCCTAAACGGGCCACCCGAACTTGCCTCAAGGACATCGGGCCCTTCAGGAGCAAGATCCCACGACTCTTTTGCGCCTTTACTTCTCGGCCTTGGGGGAGGCAAGGGTACTACCAAGTCTTGCTCCTCGGCGCCAACGAATCAATCGTTCCTTTAAACATTTGGGATCACCCAAGGCCTAGCGGTGCTAATGTTCGCAGTGCCAGCCGCATGTCCGACGAGCGGGAACCACAGGAGGATGCAGCATGTGTAGATGCGCCATCCTGGTAAGATGCAAAATCTGATTCGTACATTGAATATGAAACAATCTCCATGGGCTTGTCCGTGAGATGGTCCCGGTCTGGGCCAGCTTGAGTTGCATGGAGGATTCGGGGTTTTCGACAACCCGGAGAAACTTGCAGTAGCAGCAGCAAGGAGGGGTGCCTGGAAGCAAACAAAACGAGATTTCAGCCCTACAAGTAAGATACATTTCGAACCGCTTTTCGACGCACGGTACAAATATACAGGTAGGGCTCCAGTCTGCCGCGAGCTGTTCGGCCGGTTCCGCTTGATAAGATGCGGAGTCCCGCGATCCCCGCAGCTTTTCGCGCAAGCCGTGGTCGGTGCGGCCCGTCGTGTGGCTAGGAGCAGGGAATTTAGCTGCGAGAGATCTGATAAGGGAATTGGTCATTCCTGAAATACTCGGAGATATTTGAGTGATGGGCTCGCTACAGCGGGAGAGACGAAACTCAAAACCTTTTGCTGTCTCATGGGCTCCAGGATATAAAGCTGAACCAAGGACCTCGGAAGACCAGCTAGTAAATTATTTCACAATGCCTTCTGCAATGCAGACGCCCGAGTTCCAGATTCCTGTCGTTGACATATCCGCGTACTTGGAAGATCCTTCCTCTCGCCAAGCCCAATCCGTCGTCGACTCTGTTCGTGCAGCTTGCATCACTTCGGGATTCTTCCAGCTAAAGGGACATGGAATTCCTGGAGATCTACGGGAAGCTCTATTCCAAGGCGCAAAAGCCCTGTTTGCCCTGCCATTGGAGGAAAAGAAAGCCCTGAAGAGACCCGGAACGAACAGAGGCTACGATGTCATGGGCGCGCAAGCACTACAGCAAGACGCCTTGCCAGATATGAAGGAGGTATTCAACCCATCTCTCACGCACTCCTTTCGGAAAAGCTCACAAAGAACCAGGGCTACTACATTGGCAAGAACATAGCCGTCGAGGAGGAGCAAGCTCGTCGCTCTTTCATGACTCCCAACATCTGGCCATCCGCACACCAGGTCCCCGAGTCCGCTTTCAAGAAACCAATGGTGGAATACTACGATGCAGTCGAATCACTTTGCCTTCGTGTCTTGGAGGTCGTTGCTGCAGCTTTACCATATGGCCCAGATGTGCTCGACGACTTTAAGAAAGAGCCGATAGTCGCTTCGATGCGACTGCTCCATTACCCTCCCCAAAGTTCGGCCACTGAGAAGCAATATGGCGCTGGCGCGCACACCGACTTTGGATTCATCACGCTTCTCTTGACCGACGGACACCCAGGATTGCAAGTTCAGAACCAGGGGACTGGACAGTGGGTACCCGTGCCGCCCAACGAGGACGCTTTCGTGGTGAATGTGGGGGATATGCTGCAGCAAATAAGTGGCGGCTATTTCAAAAGCAACATGCACCGGGTGTTGAATCTGGGGGACGCTGATCGTTACAGTGTGCCCTACTTTTTTGACGGTTGCCTGGACGCGAGGTTGAGGAGGCTGGACGGCACAGACGAGGAGAGGATCTTGACTGTGGAAGAGCATATGCTCGAGAGATTTGCGACGACATACGGTGCAAAGAAGGAGGACCAAGCCGCATAGTTCTCCGGTTCAGCGTAGGCTGACGTGCACTTCCAGCATGCTGGTATGCCTGATCCTAGTCTCTGGGACTTGGTCCTGCTCGTCATCTTCCTCGGCGGTCTTGTCGGATTTTTCGTTGACCTCTGTGCCTTGGCTGACCGCATTTGTGTCCTCGACGAGATCATCGATAGCATCCAGTGTGCCTGTCTCAAGCCTCACTCGGCATTCTTCCTTTTGTTGGAAGAACAAGGCTAATTCCATGGCCTTTTCAATGCTCCTCCCCGTGGCCTTGATGGTGACACTTTCGGGCCGTTCGTGACCGTCCACTGCTGCGATGGCGGCGGACATGATGGGGTCGTTGCGATGGTTACGCTTTTGGGCGAGGGCGCTCTGAGTAGCGC